TTGTGGGAAGCTGGCTGGGAAAGTTGCAAACGGCGATGACGTGACCCCGGGATGCTGCTCCCATCAGAAATACACGCTGGTTGCTAAGCCCCCAAATTCTGACTACGTGAGCGTGGGGATGCTACGAGAGTCATAAATGCGAGGACCGGTTGAAAGTTATTTTTTTTCAATGTTGCGGTTAACTTTGAATGGTGGCTAAATGAATGGTTGTAAGTCAAGGACTACCTGTATTTCAAAAGTATGTTCCCAAATGTTCTGGTGCCAAATGGTTTGCAGAGAGACCCACCCTCTTTACGTCCACCTCATAGCCTGTCTGAACCTCTCAGACCCTCTAATTAAACCACGATGCATCATTAGAATCCTAATAAAATTAGATCTGTCGGGCTGCAAAGCATCAGAAGCAACAGGAAGAAGAATTATATGCACTGTTAAATACCCCAAGGCTTTTAGGAGACCGAAAGATCGGTTCTACATGTTTTTCACTCTGCCTAATGCAGCCTTTTGTAGCGGGGTGCTGTCCCCAAACGAAGCCGAGAACGAAATAGCTCAGAGACACTTTACAGAGTTCCTTTCTTCCTGCATAAAATAATAATATAATTTTTAAAAAAATCAGGAAGCAGGAGAAGAATCTCCAGCTCCACCCAAAGGACGAAAGAAGACTAATCAAGGAGAGAAGCAATCTAGAACCAAGGAGAAATTTCCCGACAGTGAGGACAATTCATTTGCGGAACGACTTGTCCTCCAGAAGTTGTTGTGGGTGCTCCAACACTGGAGGTTTTCAAGAAAAGATTGCACAAACATTTGTTTGGAATGGGACAGGTAGTCCTTGACCTACGATCCCAATTCAGCCCCCCCCCCATTTCTGTCATTAAGCGAGACATTTGTTAAGTGAGCTTCGCACCGTCTTGTGGCTTTTCTTGCCACGCTTGTTAAGCGAGTCACTGCAGTTTGCTAAGTCAGCAACACGGTTGTTAAGTGAATCCGGCTTCCCCATCGACTTTGCTTGTCAAAAGGTCGCAAAAGGGGATCACGTGTCCCCGGGACACTGCGACCATCATAAACACAAGTCGGTTGCCAAGCCTCTGAATTTTGATCATGGGGATGCTGCAACGGTCGTAAGTGCGAAAAACGGTCGTAAGTCACTTTTTTCAGGCCCGGTGTAAACTCCAAACAGTTGCTAAATGAACTGTTGTTAAGTCGAAGACTACCCATGGAGGCTCTCCTGCCTGGGAAGCTGGTTGGACTAGAACAGTGGTTCTTAACCTGGTGATATTGCTCCCCAGGGGGCGATTTCAGTTTTCAGGGGGGCGATGGAATGAAAAGGGGGCGATATGGGGGCGATGGAGCGAGAAGTTTTGGGGACACTTTTGAGGCTTTTTCGTACAGTGAATGGCTGTATATCTGTCGTACAAAAACATCAGATCGCTCGCTATTAGTGGATTGAATTGTGTTTTCAAATGTTCCTCCAGCTAGCTTCAGTACAGAACGCCGTACATATGTAAATACGCATTGCTTATCTTCATGCGTGTTGTGCAGCAGCCTCTACCCGTACAGTGGCGCGCCATTAGCCAGAATATGGGAGATATGGGGAAAAGACTGGAAATAAATTATTTGCATCGATATGTCCTGATGAACAATTTTAAAGAAAAGAAAACAAGTGTTTGCATAAATTGAAGAATTATTTCCCATGTTGTGATTGAGAGGTTATGTTGGGGGAGGGGGGCGATGACAACTTCCTCATTGGCTCAAGGGGGCGATTTGTTCAAAAAGGTTAAGAACCACTGGACTAGAAGATCTCTAAGGTCTTCTGTTTTTCTTCTGGCTGAACCGAACTTTGTTCGGCTCTGCCCTTGCTGAAATCAAACCTAACCAAAACCCTGAATCTGTGCTTGTCTTACAGTGCAAACAGTGAGCTCATTCTTGCTTTCAGGTACGTCTTGAGTGACAGGGAAGGCAGCAATAATATCAGTCAGAGCGAAGAAGGGAAGCTTCAGGCAGCCTTTTTGAGGCTGGAGGAAAACTGAACTGGAAAACTGTATGACTCAGAGAGTCAGCCTTCGGTGCCATTTATTTATTTGTTTATCAAAATGTCCATCAGATGTATTTATCTAAAATAGAGTCCTAATTACAGGGTGTCTGGTAGTAAAGCTGGGAATGTTCTGAGATCATTCAGAGCCGGGCAGATAATGGATTGGGTTGACAAGAAAGAACTTCATCTATCTTCCTGTATTATGAGAAAGGGCAGAATTAAAGGACATGAAGTCTCCCCGGCATGTAGAAGGTCTGACTTGCTACTTCATCATGCCTTGGTAAGGCCATACTTGGAATATTTGGTGGCCAAACTATAAAAAAGATGTTGAGACTCAAGAAAGAGTACAGAGAAGAGCAACAAAGATGATTAGGGGACTGGAGGCTAAAATATGTAAGGAACGGTTGCTGGAATTGGGTCTGTCTGGTTTAATGAAGAGAAAGACGAGGGGGGACAGGATAGCAGCCTTCCAATATCTCAGGGGCTGCCCCAAAGAAGAGGGAGTCAAGCTATTCTCCAAAGCGCCTGAAGGCAGGACAAGAAGCAACGGATGGAAACTAATTAAGGAGAGAAGCAATCTAGAACTAGGGAGAAACTTCCTGACAGTGAGAACAATTAACCAGTGGAACAACCTGCCTCCAGAAGCGGTGAATGCTCCAACACTGGAGGTTTTTAAGAAGAGACTGGACAGCCATTTGTCTGAAATGGTATAGGGTTTCCTGCCTGAGCAGGGGGTTGGACTAGAAGACCTCCAAGGTCCCTTCCAACTCTGCTATTATTAAGTCTGTGGATGTCACTGTCTCTAGTCAAGGGTAACGGTGGGGACCACCCCTCACTTTGGAGAAGAAAGCTATTGGCGGTAGCAAAAGACCTTCACTGACATTTCTAATGTCTCCCTAATTTGGGCTTGGTTGGATCTAACTCAGTCCAGTCTACCTGGGCAGAGGAGAAAATATATAATAATAATAATAATAATAATAATAATAATAATAATAATAATGATGATGATGATGATGATGATGATGATGATGATGATAAAATTAAACTGCTCTGGGACTTCAGAATTCAAACAGACAAGCACCTGCAACATAACACCCCAGACTTAACAATTGTCGATAAGAAAGACAAAAAAGTCTGGATAGTGGACGTGGCAGTGCCTGGAGACAGCAGAATAGACGAGAAAGAACTGGAGAAGATAAGAAAATACAAAGACCTACAAATAGAAATAGAAAGACTGTGGCAAAAGCAAGCAAGGGTAGTACCAATAGTCATAGGCTCCTTGGGTGCAATCCCAAAACAACTGGAGCACCACTTGAACACCATCATCGGCATTGACAAATTCGCCATTAATCAATTGCAAAAGGCGGCCTTACTAGGAACTGCTTCCATCCTGCGACGATATCTGTAATACCATCAGACATCCACATCTGCCTATCCCAGGTCCTGCGTAAGGACTCGATAGGTAGACAAAATGCCAAATCCAGTCTGAACATCTGGCTGACTGTGCGATGATCGATAATAATAATAATGATGATGGTGATGATGATGATGATGAACATTTTAGGCTACGAGGAATGCTACGGAGGCCTTCACACTTCTCTTGAACATAGCCAAACGCATAATTCTAGGACTAGGAAAGTTTCTATGCCGGAGGATCCAGGTTCAAATTCAGCTTCTCTAAGGATGGCTTGGAAAAACCACCCTGAACATAATTTAATAATTGATAGTCGTTGATAACTGATCGTTCTAGGTTAGTAAGGAAGCGCCCTCCCCCTTTAAACTGGAAGCCGCTTCAACTCAGCTGTGGATCAGGATGGAGGTATTTGCCCTCCCTCTGGCTAGTTAAGATTTTGCAAGGATGAAGGAGGTCCTTCCTGCATCCAGGTAAAACCAGCTGGAGCTTGGAAGAAACCAGAGGTTTCCCTGCATTTCTGGGGAAACCCACTGAGCATCTCTCCAAAGTTGGACCCAGAAGCGATTTTAAAAAAGAGAGAGAGAGAGACAACCAACAGCAAGAATTTGGCCCCAACTTTACCTGGAACAGGGATCTCTACCTGTTGAGAAGAACTGTTGACAGCAAATTTTTCTACCTGCGCACAGCAACGCCTGTTGCCTTTTCTGCAATGGTCAAATGACACAGCAGAAGTCTGTCCTCAGGGGTGAATTTTACCCAGACCAAATCAAAAACTGCAGTTCAAAAGTAAAAAAAAAAAAAAAAAAGACTGCCCAGCCTCCAAACCTCAGTTTTCCCTAAACCAGGTTATTCCCTAAACACTTTCCTTTTCAATCCTATCTTGAATTATACCCTTTCCTTCACACACACACACACACACACACCCTACTCAACCCTTCACCTAACTGGCCTGGATCCCTCTCAAATAAAAACAAACAAACAAAACTCTCCTTGAGAAGGCTGCTTGTGTTGTGGATTCGAGACTAGCCTTTTTTTTTAAAAGAAGAAGAAAAAGATTGGCCTCATCATTTCTCTCTCTCTCTCTCTCTCTCTCTCTCTCTTCTCAAAGAAGGCTGTTTTTTCTTGGGCACCAGTGACTGTTACTTAAGAAAAAGAAAAGAAAATCAAAGTAAGGTTGAGCAAGGAAGGGCGGGCAGCGGTTTCCAGACTCCCCTTTCGGCTCTCTGCGTATGCTCAAGAGCCCCGAGACTCGCCCGCTGGGAACCTGTTGAAACAAGGCTGAGCTGCCACGCTGCCTTTTGCGTTCAACACAAAACCCCCGAAGAACTTTAGGAACAATTGCTGAAACCCTCCCGAGAGAGTCTTCCGGTTGCAATCCGATAACGTAGGGATAGAGATGATAAGAGAAATAAATAAATAGAATTTGAACCTTGGAAAACAGGGGCCGGGGGGGGGAGGGGGAAGAGCTAAGACTGGTCCAAGGATGCTAATAAATAATGCCAGTTTTTTTTTTCCCCCACCTTCCCTTCCCTTTTAAAGTGGGAAAACTGTACTTACGGCGAGGTGCAAACTCCGCGGTAAACCTGGGAAGTAAGGCAGAAAGAAACGCTGCCTCCGCCTTCTCTTCGGCTGGCAACAAGGACCTGCGACGCCGTCTTTTTATACCAGCGAGGTTAGCCCCGTTCATTCATCGCAGGCACCAGAAAGCGCAACACCTCCCCCCACCCCATCCTGCGCGCGAATTATCAAGCCCTCCGCAACGGTGCCGTAATCCTCCTAAGACAGGCACCCACCGTTTTTTTTTTTTTTTTTTTCTGGCCGCCTGGATCGCTCGCGAGCACACACGAACGCGCAGAGGTCTGTCTTCGCTGCCCTGCGGGAAAAGAAATCGACACTGCTGCCGGTCTGCGACGGTGGATCTGGGAGAGGGGTGGACTTGGGGGGGGGGGGTGTTTGTTGTTCCCGTCTTCGTTTGCTTTTTCACGCAAGCAAAGATAGGCTCGTTTTCCCGGGGTAATCTCTCTCCCCCCCCCGCGCTACCGTACTCTCTCTCTCTCTCTCTCTCTGCTATTCTCTCTCTCTCTGCTATTCTCTCTCTCTCTTTCTCTCTCCTAGTATCTCTCTCTCTCTCTCTCTCTCTCTCTCTCTCTCTCTCTCTCTCTCTCTCTCTCTCTCGCTCTCTCTCTCTCTCTCTCTCTCTCTCTCTCTCTCTCTCCTTCTCTCTCTCTCTCTGCTATTCTCTCTCTCTCTGCTATTCTCTCTCTCTCTTTGTCTCTCTCTCTCTCTCTCTCTCTCTCTCTCTCTCTCTCTCTCTCTCTCTCTCTCTCTCTCTGCTATTCTCTCTCTCTCTTTCTCTCTCCTAGTATCTCTCTCTCTCTGTGTGTCTCTCTCCTAGTATCTTTCTCTCTGTTTGCTTAGTATTTCTCTCTCCCCCTCAGTGTCTTTCTCTCTTTGCTAGTATCTCTCTATCTCTCTTTGCTTAGTATTTCTCTCTCTCTCCCTTAGTATCTCTTTCTCTGCTAGTATCTCTCTCTCTTAGTATCTCTCTTTCTTTCTCTTTGCTGGTCTCTCTCTCTTTCTCCTAGTATTTCTCTCTCTCTCTCTCTGCTAATCTCTCTCTCCTAGTATCTCTCTCTGCTAATCTTTCTCTCTCTCTCTAGTCTCTCTTTCTCTCTGTCTCTGCTAATCTCTCCCTCTCTTAGTATCTCTCTCTTCTTCTTCTGCAAGTCTCTCTCTCTCTCCTAGTCTCTTTCTCTCTGTCTCTCTTAGTCTCTTTCTCTCTCTCTTCCAGTCTGTCTGATCACATCATAAGCCTTAAGAAAAGATTAGACAAAGAGAGATCTGTTTAATGAACTTGGGTAATCCTTCTCCTCCTCCTTTCCATATATATATATATATGTATATATACACATACATACACACACACAAACATATTTTCTTTCTGATCTTTCCATAGAGAGTGTCAGTTTCCAAAATGCGTTAGGTTGCGGGGTGTTTTTTTTGTTTTTGTTTTTTTGCTTTTTTTGTTTTTCAGATCCTTGCATAACACTTGCTCCCTTCCTCCAGTTTGCAGGGCTCCATGGCTGGTGTAATTCATTTTAGATTTACTTTGTGGCTGCCTGATTAGGCTGGCTGGAGGGTTTGATTTTGGTCTCTGCTAAGAGCACAAAAGTTCTTCTGATTATCCGGCAGGATGGAAATCCCGTCTGGTATTGAGTGGAAGTTCTCTTTGCATTTATCCAGCCTGCCTTGTGGCTTTTCAATCAGGATTTCATTTGGGGGGGGGAGCTCAGTCGATCCTGTTCACATTTCAGGTCACCGGTGCTGCAATAGAGCCTCTGAGCAGATGCAAAGAGCTTTCGCCCCACCCCGCCCCTTCTTTGAAAGCAATATTATCAATGCGTTTCATTCATGGTTGGTTCAGGCATGGAGGGAGTGGCTCGGCTTTATTGATCACGGATTTATATGATTTTTATCCCATCTTTATTACTTAATTAGTAACTAAAGACAGCAAATAGGCTTAATATTCCTGATTATCCCCATAACAACAAGCCTGTGAGGTGGGTTGGGCTGAGAGAAACTCACTGGCTCAAAGTCACCCAGCCAGCTTTCATGCCTAAAGCAGGAGCAGAACTTTCCTGGTTTCTAGGCCTGCATCTAACCCACTGCACCAAACTGGCTCCAACTTAATCCAACTTAGATCCAACATTAGTTTAGCCACTTTGTGCATTTGGCCAAACAAGCTCTTGAAAACATCTGCCTTTTAATAACAATAATAATAACAACAACAATAATAACAACAACAGTAGTAGTAGTAGTAATAATAATAATAATAATAATAATAATAAATTGGAAGGAACCTTGGAGGTCATCTAGTCCAACCCCCTGCTCAGGCAGGAAACCCTATACCAGGGGTAGGCAACCTCGGCTCTTTTATGACTCATGGACTTCAATTCATGGACTTCAAGTTGAAGTCCATGAGTCATAAAAGAGCCGAGGTTGCCTACCCCTGCCCTATACCATTTCGGACAAATGGCTGTCCAGTCTCTTCTTAAAAACTTCCAGTGAATGTTGGAGCATTCACCGCTTCTGGAGGCAGGTTGTTCCACTGGTTAATTGTTCTCACTGTCAGGAAATTTCTCCCTAGTTCTAGCTTGCTTCTCTCCTTGCTTAGTTTCCATCCATTGCTTCTTATCCTGCCTTCAGGCGCTTTGGAGAATAGCTTGACTCCCTCTTCTTTGGGGCAGCCCCTGAGATATTGGAAGACTGCTATCATGTCCCCCCTCGTCCTTCTCTTCACTAAACTAGACATACCCAATTCCAGCATCCGTTCCTTGTATGTTTTAGCCTCCAGTCCCCTAATCATCTTTGTTGTTGTTCTCTGTACTCTTTCCAGAGTCTCAACCTCTTTTTTACATCTAAGTGACCCAAACTGGATGCAGCATTCCAAGTGTGGCCTTCCCAAGACATTGTAAAGTGGTATTAACATTTCACGTGATCTTGATTCTATCCCTCTGTTAATGCAGCCTAGCACTGTGTTGGCTTTTTTGGCAGCTGCAGCACACGGCTGGCTCATATTCAGTGCTGTTAACAACAGCACTGAAAAAAGTGACTTACAACCGGTCCTTGCACTTACTACCATTATAGCATCTCCATGGTCACGTGATCAAAATTCGGGCGCTTGTCAACCACCACGTATTTACGACAGTTGCAGCATCTTCTCAAATGCAGGTAAGTCCTCAATTTACAAGAGGTCATCTAGTGACCATTTTTCACACTTACGACCGTTGCAGCATCCCCACGGTCAAGTGATTGAAATTCGGACACTTGGCAACTGACTCGTACTTATGACGTTTGTAGTGTCCCCGGGGTCATGGAATTCCCTTTTGTGACCATCTGACAAGCAAAATCCATGGGGAAACCGGATTCATTTAACCACTGGGTTCAAAGTTAACAACTGCAGAGATTCACTTAACAACTGTGGCCAAGAAAAGGTGTTAAAATAGGACAAAACTCATTTAAGTGTCTTGCTTAACAGCCTTGTGGTCGTAAGTCGAGGACTACCTGTACTGTTTTCCCTTGATCGAGTAGATGTCCCTGTGGTGAGGTTGTAAAACCCACATTTCCTCCTGGTTACTATCACTGTTTGCATGTAACTTTGGGCTGCAGAACAACTTTTCAGACAAGGTTGGAAGATCTTGGATCCGGGAATGATAAATTAAAGGTGGTGTTAACAGGATAATAGAGTTGGAAGGCACCTTGGAGGTCATCTAGTCCAACCCCCTGCTCAAGCAGGAGACCCTATACCAGTGATGGCGAACCTTTTAGAGACCGAGTGCCCAAACTGCAACCCAAAACCCACTTAGTTAGAGTGTAGTACTGCAGGCCACTTTAGCTGACTGTGTTCAGCAGGTCAGCGGTTCAAATCTCACCGGCTCAAGGTTGACTCAGCCTTCCATCCTTCCGGGGTAGGTAAAATGAGGACCCAGATTGTTGGGGGCAATGTAAATATATATATATATACATTGCTTACTGGTGTACACCGCTTAGAGAGTGCTTGCACTTAAAGCGGTATATAAGTCTCATAAATAAATAAATAAATAAATTATGCATCGTTGAGTGCCGGGTAGGTGTGGCCCATTGGGTGGGCGTGGCCACAGTGGTAACGGCAGACTGGGTGGGACTAAAAAGGTTCAATCAATTCCAACTTTGCAAGATCTTTTTTTTTCCCGCGAGAAGTTGGAATTGACGGAACCTTTTTTTTTTTTTTTTTTTTTTGCACATGGCGGCAGTGGAGGCCTAAAGCGAAAAGGTTTTATAAAACCCAGCTGAAGGCCTAGGACTGGGGCGACGGTGCGCGTGCCCACAGAGAGGGCTCTGCATGCCACCTGTGGCACACGTGCCATAGGTTCGCCACCACGGCCTTAAGGGCTCAGCGTTAAGCTCTGTGATTCTGGCACCCTGACAGCCTGCTTTTAATAAAAACCAAAGGCATTTTTAAAAGGGGCTACACAACATGCACAAAGCACGCTCTCTCTCTCTCCAGCCCTGCCCTCGAAACCCAAAACATTAGGACTACAGGAAGAGGCGCATGGGTTCGCCACCACTGCCCTATACTATTTCAGACAAATGGCAAAAAAATGACAACAAAGGTTATTTTATCTTACCTTACCTTACATTATCTTATCATTTTACCGCGTCTTATCGTACCTTATCGTACCTTGTCTTGTCTTGTCTTATCTTACCCCACCTTACCTTACCTTACCTTTCCTTACCTTTCCTTATCTTATCCTACCCTACCTTACCTTGCCTTGCCTTACCTTACCTTACCTCAGGGGTGTCAAATTCAATTTCATTGAGGGCCGCATCAGCATTGCGGTTGCCCTCGGGGGGGGCAGGGGGGTATGGCCAAGGTGGGTGTGGCCTACTGGGTGGGTGTGGATGGAGAGGGTGTGGCCTACTGGGTGGGCGTGGCCAGCTCTACATCAAGGGTGCCTATGGGGGCCTGGGCAGGAGTGGGACAGATCTAAGGGTGTCTGGCAGAAGGGGGTGGGACCGGGGCAAGCGCCAAGGCATGGTCCATTTCTTCATTCCTCACAAAGGGTGACACCTCCCCAGCATGCACCCAGGGGCGGGCCGACACAACAGGGGCTGGTCCCTCGATGTTTCTAGACGGCCTTGTGGAGCTAAGACTGAATGTGTTTCAGCATAGATGGTCACCACAAAATTGTACATTGACTCCCAGCTGGCCTGGGCCAGGGCCAGGGC